TGCCAGTGCAGCTTGCCATGTCATTATCCATCAATTCTACAAATCACCGGGTTGTTCATTGTTAAGGAGATAAAATTAATTAATCAGTGGTCTTGGGACCAGTCCATCCTCCCCCATAGGTGTGTCTCATATTTTAAGTTCTGAAATGATAGTATAAACACAGAATCAATCATATAATTTTAATGTCACTGTAAACACAAAATCATTCAGAAAGTGACAGTGTAACTGCAATTTTTCATGTTTTCTATTATTAGATAATTAACAAATTGACCAAATACTATATTATAAAGGTTTTAAACCCATCATTTTCTCTCTGAAATTGTTTTTATGATTTTGACCCATTTCGTATAAAGTGTCTCCAATCATACTGATTTCAGCCTGTATTTATTAGCAAAGCAATACTGTGATGCTAGTTGAGTCTATTTTTTTTGAGGGGGGAAAACAAAATAGAAATGGCCAATCTGATCAATACTCACTTTGGAATGGATTGGCCTACAAGAATGAAACAGCTCACTGCACAAACCAATTTATTTGATGCCAGAATTAATAAATTTAAGCGTAAGGAATACATGTAAAAAAATGTTTAACTTCGGCACCCAAAATTTTTTGTTGGATTGTCTACCATATTAAATGATCTAATAACTATTACTTTGGTTTTCATCCTTGCCTTTTAGCGTGCATGCAAAGATATTGCAACCTTTTTTGGAAATGTAAGCAGATCATAGCAAACATAACATGCACTGAGTAATGTAACAGAAAATCCAAATATGGTATTGCAAGTCTTGCTTGGAAAATGAATTGCTATGAGAATCTTGTGTTATATATCATGGAGAACAAAGTTTTGTTAGTCGGTGCATAGAACCGAAATGCCGGAACGCACCGAAATGCTGGAATGCAATATAAACACTGAAATGCATTTCAATTATATTGTATATACCATAGCTGGAAACTGCAATTTGCGAACATTTTGACATAAGTGTAATGGTTAATCTATTGCTAATAAATACATATTATTAACGAATAATGCCAGGATGTATGAACCTTGTAAAAATCATCAATTTAAATAGCCATGCAGTGTAAATGTAATTATCAAGAACTATGCATGGATAATTTTTTTAATGATCTAAATAAAAAAGATACTTGCAAAAAATGGCATGTCATATAATCTCCGTATTGATTTTGGAATTTTCATCAGAACAAAACCTTTTGGCCCGTGAGTAGCTAATTTTTCCATATTGATTGTTCAATAATTAGAAGAATATGACAAATATGAACTGCACACATTTTTTCTTTTATGACAGCTTTTTTCTATACCCGAATGTATTCACTTATTTGTCAATGGCATTATTTGCATATATTGTTAAAACATTAGAATGTTCCACCAGGCATTCAAAACACGAAATATACCACTGTCTGTAGTTGGAGACGGCAACTGTTTGTACAGAGCAGTATCCCTAGCCATTTCAGGCTCCGAACATCTTCACAAACTGCTAAGGTTGATGTATTGAAATGAATTTGAACAAAACAACTTACAATGAAAACAGTGATCATAATTTGCATGACTTGTCTCTGATAATAGAATTGTAACAAGCAGTTTTTCACAACTTGTCCATAATGCAGTTGTCATCAATTTGTATTCTGAAATGGAACATATATATGACCTGTGTGCAGCAATAAACATGCCAATACCGTCATATTATCTGCCCCAACTATATCCAAAGATGTCTTCAGAACCATACACTAGAATCATACACGGCAGAAGTGTAAAATTTTCCAATCCAGATGTTACTTCCACACACTCATGTCTTTGAAGCCAAATCATTTTGTTATAATTCTTAAATTGCAATCTGATATATAAGTGGAAGATTTAAATAATTCTAACTCTTCCAACAAGAATGGAGAATTTGATATATCAGTCTCATCAGCAGATTTCAACAAATCAAGTAACAATCCCTTGAACAGCAGTGCTGATGCTGAAAGGACTAAAGAAAAAAAAACTAAGTTCAAAAACGATAACATAAACCTTACAGAAGAGGCTCGGAATGAGGACTATCCTGCTAAAGGGTAACTAGAAGTGACACTAGCAAAGTTCATCTTCTTTTATGGGGCCCTGAGTGGCCAAGTGGTCTTAAGCGCTGTCCGTTACAGATCACTGCCAACTCACCTCTGTCTGCGTGGGTTCGAGTCTAGGATTCGGCAAATGTAGATATGTGAGAAAGCTTGCCAGTAGCTTCTCATGGGCAAGTGGTTCTTTCCAGTGACTTCCTGGTTTCTTTCTATATTAATACTGGCCACCATGTATAGCCTATCGTGTGCTGAAAATGGTGGTAAGCCCCACAACAACAACAACATCTTTTATCTTCAGAAAACTTCTTAGAAAAATCCAACAATGTAAAAAAGAAATGGTTTTTTTATTACTGTCAATGGATCTAACAACGTAAATTGCACCAAGAAATAAAAGAAGTTTTTGTGATGATTGCAGTAGTTGGAACTCGGCTTTGGTTTCCTCACCGAAATCTTATCATTTCTTATGTGCAAATGGTGATCTCAAGAAGACATTTCTACAGATGTTAATTCTGTATTCATTCCAGAGTTAAAAGAGAATATAGACATATGGAGCAGAAGTATATACCTATATATTGCCTTTGTGTAGTAAACCCATTTCTGCCACTATCAAGTATCCCATAGACTTTTTTCAACAGAAAAATAAGTCTAAAAAAACGGTCAACGAAAGACAGAAATAATTTGACACGCTTGCCATTATTGCATGCTTCTTTGTATTTAGACCATTATCGCAAATAATTCATGATAGTTACAATTAAACTAAATAGTTGTTTCACCGGCTGGTTTGTGCAAATCTCAACACATCCTGGAACTTATCATATTAAGAAAATGTATTTATTAATAATCACAATATAATAAATCAACTTAATAAATCAATATTAATGTGTTTATTATTAAGCATTAAACTTGTGTATAAATTACAATGCACACTGTTAATATAATTTCTTTGACTTTCCAAACTGTCTCCAAAATTCGCAGTTTCCAGCTTCTTTTTAATTTGATGTTGCATCACTTGCAGAAAAGAAAGTACATATTAATTTATTACATAATATTGAATTTAAAAGAGATGAATTACGCATACACAACCAATATACACTGTGGTACAATATATACTATGGTATATATGATATGACTGAAGTGCATTTCGGTGTTTATATTGCATTCCAACGTGCATTTCGGTATTTCTATACACCCCTGTTAGTGACAACATAGCAATTTATTTTACCTTTATACAGACTTAATATCTTTATCAAAAACCAAACTTTCTGAAAAACAAAGCTATAACTAGATAGTAGATTTTTACTCTCATTTTTTGAGTTTCACAACAGTACTATTTGCTCTATTTAGTAGCCTTCACCCAGTCTAGGTATCCGACTACTGTTAGCATGAGACACTAATTTCAGGTCTAAAATTACAAATATTTTGAAATAATTTCATTATTTTCAAGCCAATTTTGGCAATACTGTACTCTTTGGTAAGCTCGACCATTGTCGGTTTACAAGTCCCCCGGGATCTCGGGAGAGAAAAAACAACAACAAAAAACATACCGCCAACAACTGGTCACATGTTCCAATTCAAAAATCATTACTTACAGTGAAGCAACTCTTAATACGACAGAATAATAGTGTCGTTTGAAAATACTATACATAATGATACAAACAGATAACAGTTTAAGATATAATAACGCAAAAAGGCACCCTTCTTGAGCCTACCTATTGGTACGTTTGACAGACCGACAGATGGAAAAAAGTGCTACCACCCCCACCCCTACTTCCTTATTTCATACCTTGTTTCGACTTCATAACAGGTTTTCGCACGAAATTATGTATCACTCTCGACTATGGTGCATCAAGCGTATTCTGTTTCTTTTTCTTTTTACTTAACCATTATGTGATAACATCACAACTGCATCACTTTTAAACAATCGTTTTAACAACAACAATGGTAGTTGCCTAATTCATACATATTCGGAATACTTGGACTGTGCTGACTCACGGATGAAAACAAAGAAATCCGCATGAGAGCAAACAAGACTACTTCTTTCAAAACTTGAAGAAATATTAAAGAAAGGAAAACGAATAACATTCGTATGTGAGACGTATACCATACTGCCTACTAAGGGAATATGGCGCCCGAGCCGATCATGATGGCCTAGAGGGGTTTTGGCACCCCAAGACCTCTGACGCCCGGGGCAAGAGCTCGTTAGTATACTACTGCCGAGACCTATTAAGGATGATGGTGAACTTTCCTGAAATCGAGTTCTTACCCCTGTAAGTATATATATATATATATATATATATATATATATATATATATATATATATATATATATATATATATATATATATATATATATATAGAGAGAGAGAGAGAGAGAGAGAGAGAGAGAGAGAGAGAGAGAGAGAGAGAGAGAGAGAGAGAGAGAGAGAGAGAGAGAGAGAGATGGATGTACATGCAATATCACATTTCTTATCCAGTTCAAGAAAAAAGAACGAATTAAGGTTTTATTTCGTTGGTAATGGTGTTCGTGAACAAAACAAACGTGATAGAATAATTGTAATAAACTAACAGTTCAAATGTAAATAATAGACTTAATGATTTATTTTAATATAATAAATATGTGTATTTTCTTTTATATGAAACAAAAGTTGCAACTATTGCATTTTTCTTGTCGTATCAGTATCCACAACACTTCAGCTTTAAACAAAGAAAGACATTTGAACTGCATAAATTGTGCACGAATTTGACGTTTATATGATGGAGTACCATTTTGGAATCTCATAAACGCCCGCTGTAGTTTTTTTCCAGGGGGTGTGTGTGTTTATGTGTGCGTACGTGCGTGCGTGCGTGTGTTTTATTTGAGTGTTATTTACTGAATTGTCATGCTAGCACCAATCTCTTAATGCTGAGTGCAACTTCAAGTACAATTGTTATAAGTCTTTGGTATGACTCGGCAGGAGTTCGAACCTGTAACCTCACGCATCCGAGACGGACGCTCTAACCACTTAATCCACCACAGAGAAATAAAAACTATTGCTGATATTATTCTTAATTTATAACATCTCCAGTATTCAAATCTACATACAATATAAATGATTTCTTGATAAAATTGATCAGTTGGTCCCATTGAACAGAGAATGTGTAATTTTGAAATATTGCAAGTATTATTAGATATAGTAATTTTTTCAAAACACTCCACATTTACCAAAACCTAACCTCTGCAAGTATCACTTTACCTGAAAGCCTCGGGTTACCTCTAACATAGATATTAAATCACATGTGTGGGTCGGGCTACGTGTTTGAAAGGCTAAATATGTATATTTATAGTTATCAGAAAACTTCAAGAAGTGCATATTTTGTTTAACGTTTAAAATTCAATAATTGTGTTCGAAATTGGGACAAATTTCTCGGATTGTGTGTTTTGTTTACATGCACATTCTGTCTGTGGCGATTTTAAAAAAAATATGTAAACATGTTTACTTGAACCTGAATTCAGAACATTGGTTTTCCCATTGGAAATTCCTGTATACCCCATATTTGTCAAGGTCTTTATTAAAATTGGTCAACTTCTATAAAGGAACTTTTGGCCGTCACACTGGTCCTATGAGTGAATCTTAGAGGATGTTTAATTGTTCCTATTTTAAGATCTGTCTAGTACAATTGGTCTTTTGTGTTTTGTTTTTATTTATTTATTTATTTATTTATTTATTTACAAACTGCTCCTAGCCATTTTGGAATAATCTTTACTATGGGATTATTGAGAAGTCATTCAATGACATACTGGATTTCATCAGTGTGATAAAGTGAAAAAGTAAAAGACAATCTGATTGCCGATGTACTTTCATGTGTATAGAACTTACAATATTTTGAATTAAATTCCAAATAATCATGAAAGTTATGTCACAAGTCCAAAAGTATAGACTGTTCCAAATGAATTCCAGTCTATAAATGCTGATGTACGAATTGAGTAGGTTTATAAAATTTTATAATCAAGAATGTCTTTGAACTAATTAACAATAACCAAAAATAGTGTTTCGTCCATACTGGCTATGAGCAGTTTGTAAATCCATTTAATAATTTTTAAATGCATGATTCTTCTCAAATTATATTTGAAGACATCCGATAATAATTCCACAAATATACCTTAAGATCGGAATGAACTCCAACCTAATTTAAAGACTTAAGATTTCATAAAATGACCTGAACTGTGACTTCCAGCCATATATATATATATATATATATATCTATATATATATATATATATATATATATATATATATATATATATATATATATATATATATAATTTAAATTTTTGTCCATGATCGATGTTGGAGTTGCTATGGCTTACCTGAATATTATAAATTTTGTTTATAAAAAGTTGTTTACTGATATATGAGTTGAATATATATACAGAAAAGAAAGACTACTTTTATGTATTAGATAAATATATGATAATTTGACGGCAAATTATCTTATGATTGGAATAAAATATGAATAAAGCAACATAGTATTTCGTTACACATGCAATCAGATTTTTTTTTCTTAAAATTTTTTTACAAGCCAGGAGTCTTTTGCTTGACCGAGCGGTGTCAAGACCCTGGCTCGAATCCCGCTAGAAGTCATAAGTTTACCCCATATTTCCAAAGACTTCTATACACCTTCAGTTGTAAGTTGGAAAGTCCGACGTGTTCATTCTATACATAAATTTTACAATAATCAATGTAAGACCACGTTATTTACAACTCTCCAAATAACCATCAACCGCATATTCGCACAGTTTCTCTACATTAACTTTTCGGTCCGCTAGTAGTTCACACCGTAGAAACTCTACAACTATCCCTAACACGGGGGACTATTTTAACTGCCCACCTGAGGCCAGTCGATCTACCGTTTCAAGGCACATCACACCAGTAAACCTACTTCACATTTGCCAATATGGCGACATAAACGGTATCTTCCGAGTCATTTCTCATTTATTCCATTGTGTAATTTACCGGTTTCCTACCATAAATACTGCCGCTGAAGTCACAACACCGATGTACACCACTATTTTTTTTTTTTTTATAAAGTGCTAGTCATGCGGATTGGGTCTGAGTTCGCTACTCATTGACCATGGCATCTTAAAAACTCACTAGCACTTTCTCTCCGTGACGTTTGCTCCTAATAATGGACTAATTATTCGTGCTAAGGAATATTTCCCATTGCACCGAATTCCAATAATCAAACAGGTAATCACACAAACGTACAAATTGCTTAAACTTAATGCGCATCTCCTTAATTTTGTTACAATTCTCTTAATCTAGCTTTCCCTTTGTTAATGAAAGTAAGGGAATGCGATCACTGAATAAAATAAACGGGGAAGAGCTGAACTAATATACACTTCAAAGCGGGAATCAAAGCCGCAATTCCTTCTCGAGTGTGTGAGAAATAATTTCTCTGGTGGTTATTTGGTTTGTTTTACAAAATTAGCATAATGGATGATCCACACCATTTATGACTTCTTGAATGATTTTCTAACAACCCCAACATCACTTTCATCAATATACAATTTTAAAACAACTGACTGATAAATGGAGTGAAAGAACTGATGCACTCTTAAGTATTCCCTTCGTGTTTCAAAAGCATCCTGCCATTTATCAGACCATTCAAAATGACAAATTTACTCATTTAATTTGTCAGAGGTTCAGTAATTATGGAGCAATTTGAGAAAAATTTCCTATAATATCCAGCCATACCAAATGTTACCAATTGCTGCTTTTCGAACAGGCAATGTGAATTCAGATATAGATTTTGACCTTAACGTTTGCAGGTTTACCGTGTTCCACGATATGCCCTAAAAATGTAACAAAAGCACAGCAAAATTCAATTTTACCTAAATTATTTGTCAAATTGGCATCACTCAGCCCATCAAAGAATTTCAGAATGATTTTCATGTGCTTTTTCCAGGTATCGTAGTAGATGATGTCATCGATGTATGCATCACAATTATGTAGACTATATCATCATGTTCATTAATGCTCGAATGTCGACGGAGAATTTTTCATAGAAAGAGGTATGATATTATATGGATAAAGTCGATCTGGAGTTGCAAACGCCCAAATATTCTTTGCTCATTCCGTGATTGTAATTTGCCAGAATCCTATTAAAAGATCAAACTTGGTGACATATATTGCATTTCCAATGTTGTAAATGTAGTCATCGATTCTTGACATTGGTAATGAATCTGTCGTGGTGACACTTGAATTTTCATCAATCAGTACATATTCGGAATGTATTATCCGGTTTAGGCACAAGAAGACACGGTTAAATTCATTTACTTTTACTGGGTTCTATCGAATCATTTTCGGACAAATAATGAATTTTTTTTATCATACATTCATACATAAGTGGACTCGTCCTGTATGGATGCTGTTCCATCGGTGTAGTATCAACAATCTTAACGTATTGGTAGATTTTTTATTTGTTTTCTGTAGACCATAGGCTCATATTCACAAAATAGCTCACTGTGTTTGTGCATGTAGATGTGAAAGTTCCTGTTCTTGTTGTTTAATATTTCTGAATTCTGAACATTAGATAAACCAAAGTCTTTAATCACATTTCATTCCATCGTTAACATCCTCATTATGTGAGGCGTGCGCAACTAAATAAACGAACGATTCACTGGGCTATTTCTACATAAATATTCCTTTAACTCCTTTAAAGGTTTTTATGAGAAAGCTGTATCTCTTTCCGCATCCACATGTATCAATGTTGCAATTTAAGTCATTTACATTATTTTCAACTGTGTAAGGATCATAGAATTTAGCGGTAAGAGGATTTTGAGTTATAGGCAAGAGAGTCGGAACTCTATCACCAAGCTATGAACTCCTTTCGTTTTTATTCTTGCCATACCTTAATTACATTTTTTGACTGAGTAGAGTGAAGTATATTTCTAATTATTTCCTATACATTTGACAACTTATATTTGAAATCCGAAACAATGTCAAGAAGATTAATCAAGTGAAAGAGCTAACATCTTACAAAAAACTTCAGTAGTACACGGACATAGTGTCCAAAAAGTAGTTCAAGAGGACGAAAACGAAAGTTTCTTGAACTGATTCTCTAACAGAAAATAAAATCAAACGAACACGCATATTCCTGTGTCAAAGGAAACATATTCGACTCATATCCTTGATGAAATCTTTCTAAAGCCGCTTGACTTTCAGGGTGAAAGACGGAATATTTAAATTCTTGGATGTCTACTTGTAAGATCACAGACAAAATTTCGACCCTTGATCAGACTGGATAGGTCTGGAAAGGGAAAAATATGTGCTTAAAAAGAACTTTATCAAAGCTTTCACTATTGTTTGAGTTTTCATATTCTTCGAAGGAATTGATTCCGGAAATCTTGATGATGCACACATTAATGTCAACAACCATTGGTTGCCTGACTTGACTTTAGGTAAAAGACCGACACAGTCTGCCATTATTCTGCTAAATGGTTCGGCAAATGCAAGAATAAGTTGCAGATGAGCTTTATTTATCTTCTGATTGGTTTTCCGACCATTCGACAAGGATGACAATATCTGCAATATTTACAAACCTTACTTTTATGTTTTGGAGAATAAAAATGATTCAAGATCTTCTGATACGTCTAATTAACTCATAAATGACCACCCAGATCAGTTTCATGGGTCAAACTACGAATTTTCTGTCTAACCGACTTTGTAACGAAATTTTGATAGCTCACTAGCCAGTCATCAGCGGGTACCTTAGGTGGCCTCCATTTGCTCATAAGGACCCAATTTTTACAAAACAACAACTGGGACTTGTGTGGATTCAGTTTTGCTAATGGCCCTCTGAAGCAAACTGGAGACTTCAGGATCTTGTTCCTGTTCGACAATGAAGGATAATCTTTTGTCACCTTGATTGGGATAGTGGGAATGAAAAGTAAAAAGAGGATTCTGTGATCAATATCTTGCTGACCGATCAATACTTGGATCAAACATGAAATTATCAAAAGACTGACTAGTAACTA